GTTACTGTGAAAAAGTTTTCAGCTGACGTCTCAGTTTCAGCGCAATGAACCGTGTGAGCAACATTTGAACATGGGAAGAAAGTGTAGGGGATCGGGTAGTAGAAGTGGTTATGCCAGCCAAAAGGAAGATGCAAAATAACAATAATATAGATTTCCAAAAGATTCGGAAAAAAAGCACAGTGGATCAAAAGTGTTCCAAATTTAATTAATCATAGAAGATGTCACGGATTATAATACTTATTTTATGGGAGTTTGCTCTCTGCACTTCAAACCCGATGTACCTTTGACACGGGCTGGAAGATTTATGGTGCCCACAGAGTCTCCAACAAAATTTCCAGAAGTACCACCATCATGTTGTGGCACACCAGCTCCCCCCCCAAAAAGAGCAACTACAACAAGTTCAGCTTTTTCTAGAGCTGCTGATATTGATGATATGTTTAAAGAAACAGATGTCTTCAAGTTCGATTCATTTTTCTCAAACAATGGATATGACGCTGACAGCCATTGGCAATGTTGCAAAGAGTAAAGATTATATTATAATACATTTGTCTTGCTCAGTAGAACTCGAGATGGCCCTGTTTTTGCATTTTCCATGTATTTTACTTTTGTTCAAAATACCCATGACCACGTGAAAGAGGTTTCATTTGAAGCTTCACAAACTGAAGCACATAATCAGGCATCCTGGCTTCACTAGAGATGTTGTCACATGCTAAAGTCAGTTAGCCTAGATCTAGATGAAATTTTGCTCTTCGTGTGTAACCTTCCTGAGAGACATTGTTGGCCTACACTACTACTACTACTTGTTGAGTAGGGTTTTATTATTTTTAAATGGAAACCACTGAAAAACTGTGCAGAAACTGATTAGTGGCGATTTTGTGGGACTTTCCAACGATATTCCATCTTGATTGTTATCGTAAGCTGGTGCGGCTGGCAGATATCTTCATGAAAAGATTTGCGGAGCAAATGAAGGACAGGCGAAGAAAAAAATAGCAAAGTAACTTTTTTTTCAGAGGTAAGGGATTGTTTTCAGTTACATGCTTAGTATAATCAATGATAGTACATAACAAGATGGGCCACTTCTCTCTTTGAGCCAATTAAAAAAGTGTCCTCAAAATTTGGTGGCGCCCTCTTCACAAAAGCGCACTCTTTGCGAACAGAGTTACCCTACTTGAGTTTTTAAAAATCAAAATGAAACTAGCATGTTTTGGGATAAATTTCGGAAGAACGCTTTTTTTTAATGGTTACGCTGACATAAAACCTCTTCCGGAGGAAAGGGTGATGGTTTTCTTCATTTAATTTGACTTTAGAATGAAAGGTGAGAGGTCATTAAAATTTTTTAAAACCCTAAAACTACGCACTGAACGTACCCGAACTGCTGATGAACAGCAGTCGATCTGCGCACGCAAGGAGGTGCTATTCCTATTCTTCTTCTGGAAAAACGAAAGAGAGCTTCAAAACAGACTGCAGCGCCATCTGAAGCAAAGAGCATACTTCCTGCGGACACTTTTTTGGCTGAGTGGCCCATCTTGTTATTTACTATCTTTGGTATAATATATCGAAGTGATTATTCGGACTCGAGTCCGAATATATGAAAAAATGTTATTCGGACTCTGATTCTTGTCAATGATAGTACATAACAAGATGGGCCACTTCTCTCTTTGAGCCAATTAAAAAAGTGTCCTCAAAATTTGGTGGCGCCCTCTTCACAAAAGCGCACTTTGCGAACAGAGTTACCCTACTTGAGTTTTTAAAAATCAAAGTGAAACTAGCATGTTTTGGGATACATTTCGGAAGAACGCTTTTTTAAAATGGTTACGCTGACAAAAAACCTTTTCCGGAGGAAAGGGTGATGGTTTTCTTCGTTTAATTTGACTTTAGAATGAAAGGCGAGAGGTCATTAAAATAAAAAAAAACTAAAACTACGCACTGAACGTACCCGAACTGCTGATGAACAGCAGTCGATCTGCGCACGCAAGGAGGTGCTATTCCTATTCTTCTTCTGGAAAAACGAAAGAGAGCTTCAAAACAGACCGCAGCGCCATCTGAAGCAAAGAGCATACTTCCTGCGGACACTTTTTTGGCTGAGTGAACCATCTTGTTATGTACTATCATTGTTCTTGTCCATCATGACATCACTTCCGACTTCCTGTGACTCGTGAATCCGGCTTCCTGTCCTGCCTCACTCGTGACTCGCCTCAGGCTGGGTACTGGGTAGAGACCGGGATCACTTTGGGCAAAAAGGCGTTTTGTGCAGGAGCAGAGTTTTAATCTTATGATGAATTTGAGGCCGGCCTGAAAAGTTAGAGCGCTTCTAATAAATGTTTACTTGTCAAGAGGTCATCAGAAGCAATTAAAGATGGCTCGTTAGCGTGTGTCGGGGTCGGATGGGCGGCCTGCACACGTGTGGCTGTGTGCGTGTCGGGGAGGGTGGTGGGAGGGGGGGGGGGCACTATCGGTCCGGGCTTTGAACGTCGCATAAGCGTCAGTCTTTTTCCCCCCGGCAACTGATCATTATTACAATAATAAGCTAGTCTTGACGTAGATCTACGTAATGAATTGTGCGCTGGTCTATGGAATCAAAAGTTGCCGTATGCTCAACTCTACACAGCAACACAATTTTTCTTGGTAAACAATCGATATGACACAGGCTTGTGTATTTGAACGAATCGGTCTTTTTTTTTTTTACACAGCTCATAATATGCAGGTGCCAGGTGGTCTGCTAATCTTCAATTTTACCTTTTTCTACAACAAAGAAAGTGGGAAACGTGTGGGGGGGGGGGGCGTATCAATTAGGCGGCGGGCATTGGATCGGCAGATAAGGTGTGGGGGAAACTAAAAAATGGCGGAAAATTGGAAGCACTGAACGTTACATCTATAGAACGAAGACACCTCCTTTTTTCCGAACCCGAGTCCGAATAACATTTTTTCATATTCGGACTCGAGTCCGAACATGTACTATCATTGGTCCGAATAAGAATTTTTTTTATTCGGACTCGAGTCCGAATATATATATTATTCTCTCTCCTCTCTCCTCTCTCTCTCTCTCTCTCTCTATATATATATATATATATATATATATATATATATATATATATATATATATATATATATATATATATATATGTGTGTGTGTGTGTGTGTGCATGTGTGTGTGTGTGTGTGTGTGTGTGTCTTATTACTTTTTAATAATTAAGATTCAGATTCATGGTAGAAATTCTTTGCTACAACTCTGAATCACTGCATCGAGTTGAACTGAGTTACTCAAGTCACAAGTGAGTTGGGAGCATAGTTTAAAAGGAGGTAACTCTGTGGTTGGGAGTTGATTCCCGGAAGTGGAAGTTGCGATGCGAGCAGTGAACGGAATCGATACCGGGATCCAGCGTCTGTCTGCTAGTGATGGGTCGATACCACAATTTAGGTATCGATGTCGATACCAAGTATTTTTTCAAGGTCTCGATACCGATACCTCGATACCTAATGGGTGCCCACTAGAGCTGGATCGGGCCGATCGCCCGACTCGATCGCCTGAAACTGAAAACAAACATGTTTGTTTTTGAGGCGATCGAGTCGGGTGATCGCCTCGATCGGCCGATCCCGTTCGTAGTGGGCACCCCGTATAACATACGCCGGAGGTAAAAAGTAAAGACAAAAATACAAGTATACTTTTCCAAGTATTTAGGTAATCGTGTCTAGACAAGTTGTGACTTTTTAGCTGAGACTCAAACAAAAATTATTTGTAAAAGAGAGAGAGAGAGAGAGAGAGAGAGAGAGAGAGAGAGAGAGAGAGAGAGAAATAAATACCCAAATAATATGAGAATAAAAACAAAAACTAAGTGAAGTATGGGAGGAAAGTCAACTTTGCAGAAAATGTTAGTATTGGAAAATAAAAACACAAGAGTTCTAAAAAGGCAATTCAATTGACAAGATTTTTAGCAACGTTAAATTAAACCAATGAGGATAAATCAGGGTTGTCAGTGAGGATTTTGCAAAATCGCGAGATAGATTTCTTGAAAAACTTCTCTCTTTTCGTTAAAAAATCACTAGTTTCATGTATAACGGTTGCCCCCTATGAAAACTTATCAGTTTTGATAAACAAAAAATTTTCAAGGCCCAAGTCACTTGCTTTGACAGCCTTAGGATAAATAACACATAGGTATCGATGTTTAGACAGGTATCTGTACCGATACCGATATATATAGGTATCTAAGTATCGAGTATCTAGTATCGATACCTGCCCATCACTATTGTCTGCTGAAGTTAGTTCGCAGTAGTGATGGGCCGATACCACAATTTAGATATCGATGTCGATACCTAGTACTTTTTCAAGGTATCGATACTGATACCTCGATACCTAATGCTATTGGTAACATACGCCGGGGGTAATAAGTAAAGACAAAAATACAAGTATACTTTTCCAAGTAGTTAGGTAATCGTGTCTAGACAAGTTGTGACTATTTAGCTGAGACTTAGACAAAAATTATTTGTAAAAGAGAGAGAGAGAGAAAGAAATACCCAAATATGAGAATAAAAACAACAACTAAGTGAAGTATGGGAGGAAAGTCAACTTTGCAGAAAATGTTAGTATTGGAAAATAAAAACACAAGAGTTCTAAAAAAGCCAATTCAATTTACCAGATTTTTAGCAACTTTAAATTAAACAAATGAGGATAAATCAGGGTTGTCAGTGAAGATTTTGCAAAATCACTAGATACATTTCATGAAAAACTTCCCTTTTTGTTAAAAAATCACTAGATGCATTTAAAACGCTTGCCCCCCCCCCCCCCCCCGCCCCCCCCCCCCCCCCCCTACGAAAACTTATCAGTTTTGATAAACAAAAAATTCTCAAGGCCCAAGTCACTTGCTTTGGCAGCCCGGGGATAAATCACACTTAGGTATCGATGTTTAGAGCAGGTATCGGTACCGATACCGATACCTATAGGTATCTAAGTATCAAGTACCAGGTATCGATACCTGCCCATCACTACTGGAGTCGTTAGTTCGCAGTATCGCACATTGCCTGGTCGTTCCTTGTGTCAGCAGTCGCAATTTTTGATCTGTCGGAATCATCAAAGCAGCATTTGCTTTTTTCGCAACAACTCGAAATGGCTCCAGTAAAAGTACAAGTTGAATACTGGTATGGTTTCTCTTCTACTTTTTATTTAGATGCTAGATCTAGCCGTATTATCTTAGGCCCTATTAACATTAGAAAACAGGAGGTTTAAAATACATGCACTGTCATTAAGGCACCTGGTTTCGTCTCAAATACAAATACTTTAGGTACTGCACACTAAAAATGTATATTTACAATTCAGTAGGCCTATTTTTTTTAAATGGTCAGTCTAGCCATCATATTAAGAATAAGTACGGCTAGACTGCCAGTCAGGGAATGTATTCCTCAAGCAAAGTAAATTGAAGATGTTTTGCATAGTAAGATCATGAAATTCCAAAGTGTCCACCAACTGATTGCCTTACTAAACTTCATATGTTGAGTTCAATTTGTGTAATTTTGTCTTCTTATCAGCGGAGCTTGAGGGTACGCCCCTCGCTTTCAGTGTCTGAAGGAAGATGTCCTGAAGTACTTTTCTGCATCTGAGGTTGATATTGCTGGTCATGTAGGGAGATCGTGTAAGTAGGCCTGTTGTAATCCTGTTCATATAATATATGTATGGAAGAATTTAACTCACACAGCCCTAACCCCAAGATAATCAAGTTGTGCACTTTTGCGCTGGGTCCTGAACCTGACAGTAGGCTCAGTCAGTATCAGGATGGAAATTTCCTCTGCTTAAGAAGTAAACACACATCTGAGAACAGACCATACTTTGTACGTGACCCTTAGCCATTTCTTTATAAGAAACAGACTTAAGCAAGGGCAAAGGTCACTTGCTTGACCTACAATTGAAAAAAAAAAAAAACTAGCACGGAATAACGAAGTGGGTAATGTGAACGAGTCTTGGTCTTTCTTCCAAGCTACTTTTTAGTGCTTTTACTGACCTTTTTCAAATGGCAATATCTCACACACTATCAAATATGTGGCGTCGGTGGCCTTGTGGTTAGGTTACCTGACTCGTAATCGTGGGGTTCGGGGGTTCGAGCCGTGGGCCCGACGTGTTCTTGGGAAAGGCACTTTACAAGAATTTTCCTCACTTCACCCAGATGGGAATGGGTACCTGGCCAAAGACAGCGAAAAATCTTGTCAGTATGTTAGTGTTTTAGCGCCTATAAATTATGGCTGCTTGCACTGTACGCTTCCTAGGAAGTTGAGGTTGTTTCAGAATGCTCTCAGGTCTGCTGGGGTAATAGTATAGATTGTGAAGCACATATAGCTTGCTGTTGAGCGGGGATTTGCGCTATACAAATGCTATCTATTATTATTAAATATTTTCAAATTCTGTAAACAGTATTGTACTGTGTAATAACTTGTGAGTGAAATATTATGGTGATTGGAATTGATTTAGTTGTTTTTTTCGCAATTTTACAAAAGCAACAAAGCCTGCTCAAGGCACAGCCAGCAGACCGGGTCCTTGTCCCCAGGGCTGAGTGAGTTAACATCGGCATTTAATTTGTTCATAAGACGTCAGCTGTAGCATGATACGTAATAGTTGAGTAATTATCCACAGGGAACTTTTCTTGTGCAATGATCCTTAAATTGTCGGCTCTATTCCAAAAGACCATAAAATTGATCACATTGCGTTGTGGATGATTACTTGATTATAGTTTAATTTTTTTATGCCGAAAATGCTTACATTTACATGTAAGCCTATATTTCAAACTTAACTTCCTACGGCTTGAAAGAGTTAAGACCAACCAGAAGCTTTCTTTCACACCAACACATGTGGTGAGGACATAATGTGCAGGAAACATGTGTCTGGGGGCTCTCGTGGTCGAGAGGTTACAGTGTTCGCCTCTCAATCAATAACAATAGGTCCCGGGTTTGAATCCAGAAAGTGACGTAAAATTTTCTTCTCCAAAACTTTCTCCTTTCACCTCTTTTCCTTTTCACTAATAATATTGTTCTGTCGTTTGCTTCCATCTCCACTTTCTGTCCTCACCCCCTCTGCCCACTTCTCTGGGTTCTTGATTCTTTCTGTCTACAGCCTTTCTACTGTTACTCCTTGGCTCCTTCTTAATGCTGTCTTTCAGCCACACCCCTGATCTTATGGTAGGTAATACGGGGTGCCCACTACGGATGGGATCGGCCGATCGCCCGACTCGATCGCCTCAAAAACAAACGTGTTTGTTATCAGTTTCAGGCGATCGAGTCGCGCAGGCGAAAAATCTCAAGAGTTCTCATGTGCAGGTTGTGCATGGTAAAGATCCCTTGGTGATCCAAAATTGCTAAGAGTAGGCTTCAGCCGCCACCTTGACAAAATTTTTTTAAATTTCCTACCAAACTATACCAGGTTCCGAACAGCATTGTATAATGATTTTTAAAATGGTCACTTTAGTCACACTTTTATTAATATAATGAATAATAATTGTAATAAAGATGATTTCCTTAGTGCCAACTCCCTGGGGCTTCACAATATTATAATAAAATTTAAATCAGCATTTCATGCATACTGGCTTATTCAGGTTTTTCTTGTCAAGATCTTGAGGATGACAGGCGGATATTGCAGAGAATTACATTAATTAATTTATCAAATTACTTGACAGTATTAGTTAAGAGTTCATGTGTACTTTACGTGTACAAATTTTTTCCTACAGCTTCCTATGAGATCCAAATCAACGGTGAACTTGTTTTCTCCAAACTGAAGCAAGGCGGGTTCCCTTCCAGTGAGGATGTAAGTTGTTTTGCTAACAGTTTCTCTTACAATTTGATTGTTTCATATATACATGCTGGCCAGTTCAGTATGGTATAATGGTTAAAGCGTTTCACCATTGCATGCAGAAGACCTAAGTTCAATTCTTGTGTTAGGGAAAATTTTTATCTAATATCTTAAGTCATTCTGATGGGATGGTGTGTCCCAGACAGGCAGGGTCAAAGCCTGCATCCTAAATTGTCTAAATTATGTCTTTAGGGGTGTAAAAACACTTACATATTTCTAAAAAAAAGAGTTGTTTTTAGTTTTTTTACTTGCGTGATCTCATGTGCCGTACATACACGTCAGCATGCTTGTGAAGACTCTCAATGGATTTGGGGGTTGAAAAGTAATGTGAAGATCTTGTAAAATGCTATTAACATTGACCGCCATAGAAAGAATTTACAACGCATAGGTCAACCATTAGATTAATCAAATAAGTTGTCATAATAAAGGAGCATCGAAAAGGTGATTTAAAAATGTGGGAAATTAATATATTTGTTTTAACCTCGCATCACTTTCTTTCTCTATCTTTAGTTCTAGTAGGACTCAAACCAAACAAGGACGAATGCTTTTGAAGACATCATGTTTTGTACTTGTTCAGATGCATTGATTGATAGATTACATTGGTTTACCATGTTATAGTTATAACTTATGAGGGGGAGAACAGTTTGAATGAATTGTGCTAAAGAATAGAAGGGGAGAAAAGAGCAACACTACCAACAGGAACAGTAACAGGGTCCCCACCTGGTCGGGAAATCGGGAAAAAGTCGGGAATTTTTAGATAGATCGGGAAAAAGTCGGGAATTTTGTGATGGGTCGGTATGTCGGGAAAGGATAGGGCCTGTGTAATATTAGTAGTGTAGCTATCGAGACAGTGTGGTTGATGAATCATGAAGAGGAAACGAAATTGAACCGCTGTGGCGGAAGTGTATGTGTGACACCGAGGCTCGGTCGGGAAGAATCAAGAACTACTTTCACTTTCGTTACCACCCAGAAATTTCCCGGTAATAAGTCTGATAGATTATAACGCAACTTTTTGTAACATGCAGGTTGTGCATTACGAACGCTGTGTCGCCTTGAAAATAAATCAATATTAAAAACGTGTCCTCTGCTGACACTTGTGAGAAAAGAAAAGAAAGTTCTACAAGCGTCTTGTCACGTTCGCCATCGTGACCGGTCAATGAACCTGTGAGTGTGAGTACCGGCGGTCTGATCGCTGTGAAGTATAGTATAGGACTCCGGGGGGG